GTACGCTCAAGCGCAACTTCCCTCGCTCGAGCGGTCTGTAAACTTTGAAAAAAGTACTGGTTATGTGAAATCTGTGCTCAATGGCTGCTCAACTCTCGCTCGAACATGAGACTCATGCCCTCGCTCGAGCGGAACTTTTGTCGCTCGAGCGGTCTGTAAAACACGCAAACTTCTGGGAGCATGCATTTTATGCTAGAGCGGACTTCAGGTCACTCGAGTGGAAGTGTAAGATCACAGAGTGGTCGCTCGAGCGTAGATTTTGACGCTCGAGCGGAGAGTAAAATTCTGGGATTTCCATATTGCTCTTCTTAGCTCAAAACTCAAATTCAAAGTTGTAAAACAAGGTCTTTTGGGCCAAAAACCTAAGGAAACAATAGGAAACAATTGTAAATGGTGAAACCATGGTGAATTCAAAATCATTTCACAAGATCAAGGCCTAGAAGCTTGCCAATTGTTCAAGACAAAACCTAAATCTTTGAAAACATAACAATATATATATTATGCATGTAAAGGTGCAAGTTCCAAGCTTTCAAAACATGATCCAATGAGGTGTCTAACTCAAAAATTTGTTGAATTCTTACACCAAGGTCATAATAAGGACATGCAAGAGGGAATTCTTTGAAAACAACTTCAAATTATGATGAAATGAGCATGCATGCATGATATGATTTATTTCTCTTTTATTCTAACTTAATTCTTGTATCAACCTACTTAATTAGTTCATGTACTACACATAATAATTGTACAATTCAAGGGTTGAATTCTTACCTAGGCTTCCCAAGATGTGTGCTAGAGGCTTAATTCTTGAGTTTCCAAGTCTAATGTCTTCAATTATTAGCAACTCTCCCTTTCCCTAGCTTTGATTCCAAATTCCTTCATTCTCTCACTCTTTTTCACGTTTCTCTCTCTAAAGTGGGGTGATAGGAGAGTGTATAGTGAACTAAATAGTTCACATGGGTCTTATATAGGCTTAAATAAAGAACTTAATTAAGTTTGACTTAATTAAACAAATTTGCACTATTTTGTTCAAATTATTTCGTTCCGAACCGAATTTGAATTAAACCTACCATAAAATTCTAAAATCTCAAATAACACATAAATCAAGTCAATTTCTGAATCGGATGCCGATAAGACCTTCAATTCGCAAACCGAAATGGAAACATGAACAGATCTTTCTATGTTAAACAGATATAAATACCAATAAGGTAACATATGATGCGAAATTTCGCTTAAATTACTCATTAGGCATAATTAAGCATGGATTAACGTTAATCATGGATTGAAGTTGTTACAGGTAAGTACCCAGTACAGGTAAGTACCCAGTACGGGTACGACATGTTTGTTGAATTATCCATGCTTCATGGTCTCAAAATAATTCAAAATGAGAATTTTTATATTTTTTATTATTATTTTTGCAAAGTATATATTATTTAAAATTTAATTTTTTTATATTTGGGGGGTAAATTGATTTTTAAGATATAGTTTGGGGTAAAATGAAATTTCAAATGAATTTTGGTGCCACGTCAGCACATTCCATCCAATGGTAGGGGTTAAATTGATCAATTTTTTGAAAGTTCAGGTACTAAATTGAAGTAAATCGAAGTATGAGGGTCAAATTGAAAAACGCGTGATAGTTTGGGGGATAAAATGATATTTCCTTGGAGCGTTTGGGTTTAATGGGCCTATTTTGAAATCGATCTTGATATTATGAAACATTCATTTTTTAGAACTCGTTAAGTATAATATAAATGTAAAAAATAAGATAATCAGACATTGAATGTATGTTTAAATCACATTTATTTTAAAAAAATAGATGACAAATATAATTTAAGAATACCTATCTATTTTTTGTAATATAAATGTGATTTAATCATATAGTTATCAATATTCGATCATGTTGATTTTTTTCATGAATATTCTACTGAATGAATTTTGAAAATTAAATGGTTAAGATCACCGAGGTCGGTTCCAAAATAGGCCCATTAAGCTTAAACAGTCTTTCAAGTTAAGATGGCCAACTTAAGAGAATTCAAATTCAAAAAATTAGGTTTAACTTATTTTTCAAAAATTTGAATATTTTATTTTTCGTGTTTTTTAAGGATAAATTACAAATACACCCCTCGATATTTGCTTAAAATACGAATTGCTTTCTATGATTTTAGAAATTACATCATGTCCCTTCAAGTTTCTAATTTTATAACAAATAGCCTATTTTATTAATAAATCATCAAATTAATTAACAATTTTTAATGATGTCAGAAATTTATTTCAATTAATAATTCAAACAATGTTATTATTGTATAACGGAGCAGTTAGAAATTTTATTTTTTCAGTTAATTCTGTTAAATAAAAAATTCTCAAAGAACCTCCGAAGTTTGGATTTACTGCTTGAGTTACTTTTTCAATTGCTGAACAGTAAATGTTTCTATGTTTTGACATCATATTATAGATGATTAATCACTTCACACATTGAGATATATCTATCGTTTGAATGTTTTCATTTATTTTTTTTCTTTTTGGGTTTATACATTATTATGATATTCTTTCTTGATTAGTTTGTTGAATTTCTTTTATTATATAGTCGATATTTTAATTTAATTAAGAGTGTTCATTTACAATCTTATAATTTAACATATATCATATAAAATCATTATATGATAGTCCAATTACAACATATTTATATTTAATTTTTTCAATAAATTTTATATAATTTATATTTCTACATGTTTTTATTCCAAATGAATATAAAATAAATAAATAAATAATTAGAATTACTTTTAATTTTATATTACTAATTTTTCTTCTAATTTAACTATGGGTAAATTACACTTTACATCCCTGCACTTTGCACTAAATCTCATTTTTGGCCCTTACACATAAAATCATGACAGTCAACTCCCTGCATTTCTAGTCAAATCTCACTTTGGTCCCTACACATGAAATTATGACAGTCAACCCCTGTACTTTTGGTTAAATCTCACTTTGGTCCCCATACAAGTGTCAATATCCTCTTTATGTTACTCAATTGTTTAAATATTTAACAGAATCTAGTCATATGATAATAATGTGATTACGACATAAGGGTAAGAAAGGAAAATCATCTACATTTTCCAACAATACATACTTTATCCCAAAATTTATATCAAAATATGACTATATTAGGTTTTACAAAACATAGATTGTAAACAATTAAGAAGATGAACAAGGGTTTTGCATAAATTGGAATCATAAAACTCTGTCTTTCACGGTAATACATTCTTCTATCTATTCATTTTTTCATCTTTTTGATTTCTTTGTCGCATTTTTTTTTAATTTCAAAAGTTCTACTTTCTTACCTTTTCGTCCCAATTTTTACCCCGCCACACGCGCGCTCGCGCGCGCGCGCACACACACACACACACACATATATATATATATATTGTATTATATAGCTCTCATGAATAGGTAAACGATATCCGATTAACTTGATTTTTTGCAGGCATGTTCTAATTGATGTATTCTAAAATATAAACAATTTGGATTATCTAAATGGGCTCCGAAATAGGCCCATTTTGCTGTAAGCAGTTGCTGCTGCACAGCCCGCGCAGCAGCATCCCCAATTCCCATTTGGTATCACTTATAAATCAATTTATTACTTAAAAAAAAAAAAGTTGATTGGTGGTACGGTGGTACTACATGCACTAATTAATGTACACATTAGTGTACCAATTAGTATTATGTCATTATTACTATCTCCATTTATTATACAAATTACAAATACCTAAAACCTCTAAAATTATGTCACATCATCTATTAGTATACTAATTAGTACATGAATTGATACATATAGCATTATTCTTGATGTAAACTTTAAATTCTTTACATGTTTTGAATTACTGAAGTTAGCAAAGTTTATATTGGTATCACATATAAATTAATTTATTTTTTAAAAAAAAAGTTGATTTATGGTGTTTACTTATTTATAAATTAGGGTGTGAGCTCACTCGATGAGTGTGTTTAAAATATAAATTTTAATTTTAAATTGATAACATATTTTCTATATTATTTAAGAGATGAAAATGTTCATTAGTAGAGTAAGTGAATGGTCTTGGGTTCAAATCTTGTGTCCATGACAATTATTTTTTATTTTTTTCCTTTTCAATGGGAGAAATTGACACTTGGCGCAAGAAGAGAATGCCACTTGACAAAATGAGGAAAGGAAGTTCATGGACACCAAGGCGTGATTTGGGAACCCAAATAAAAGTTGCGTTTTGTAGTTTCAAAAACGCAGCATGAGGCAGCTAAAAACATTAGAACACTATTTCGGAAGTTAGCAAAACGCAAGATGTGAAATTACATGAATTACCCTCCATGTTTACAACTTGAGGGCTACGGCAAATCATAATTTGGAGATATTTTGGTCATTTTATTGTAATGTGACATCATAAATAAATATTAACCCAAAAAGTAAAAAAACAATTTTTTATCAACTTTTCAAAAAAGCTAAAAAACTTGGTTAAAAGTTAAAAGCCAATTTTTAATCATCTTCTCAAAACACCCACAAGTAAGATGTTTACTTTTAATAATAGTATAAGCTGTAACTCTTTTTAGTTTATTTGAAAGTCTTAAATACATATGGCAAAAAAAAAATCATACTATTTGTCATAATAATAACTTTTGTGTTATAGTTATTTGTATAACAAAAAAAGTTATGGTACAACTTATTTAGCCAAATAGATTCAATTTCTTTTCACAAATTATAAAAGTTGACCAAACAAATTCATACCAAAAGAACCTATTAAAAAACGATATATGCATATTTTCGTGCAAAGCATGTACCTATCACTAATATACAGGCATAGATAATATTTATGGTGCCTCTCTTGCCTATAAAGAACATATATATGTATATTGAAACAAATAAAACAAATATAACAGTAAAGAAATTTTTAAAAGAAGACTAGCCAAATATATGCACACACCAAACCCAAATGAAGAAGAATGCAGACAAGCAATCTAGAATAGTGAATCTAATAGACATAAACCTCCAATAAACATATATCTCCCCAAAACATGATCATATACTTTAGACCTAACAGAACAAAATCCTAACTATATAGTATTTAACAATTTCAAAGTACCAGCAAACAATATATATCTAGTATTCAGTTCTACACTTTTCATCAATCTCTCCATAGCTCTGGCTCATGAGATTTCTTCCTCACCATCATAAACCTGATATAATCAAACAATGAAAAATTAAAATTCAAAATTATAGAGTTAAATAGAATATAAAATTATAAATTCTCACCCCCGTGTTTCACCCGTTTCTTTGTCGATTTGGTTCATGGCATCCCAAACCATCATCCGCGGCAACCAATGAAAAGGGTATTTGTAGCGAGCAACGTCCAATATCAAAAGCATGTCACTGCCCTTGTGATATGCAGCCATTGGTGAAAAATGACCATCACCCGTCTAAATTTCAAAAAATAATAATAATAAATTTAATTTACTATAGTATAAGAAAAATCATAATATCATAAAAATAATTAAATCCATATTCAAATCAAAAACAAAATAAATCAGTAAATTACCTGATTGACCTTGTTCCTAGAGTATGACAGAATCATGTGCAAATCTTCCACTGAAGTCGTTTTGATCACAGAGTCAGTAAATTGCTCCAACGAGCTATGTTGAGCCTTGAATGCTTCAATGTCGACATGTTTCCTAGCAAGTTCAGCAAAATTATCAAATGTGATTCCTTTTTTCTGGATATTCCCCATGATCTCCGAATCCCCGACCATGTGATCCTCGAACCAGCGCCACGGACCTACAACAAAAACATAAAATAAAATAATAAAAAACAAGTGCGTGCTCGTTTGGTCTTCTTCTTGGGCCAAAAAATCACAAAAGGATAAGAAAAAGTTAAAAAATTACAAAAGGACAAAAATACAAAAAATTAAAAAAATTGCCATTCCAAAGCCAAATAAGAAAATCAAACAAACAAAAGAAGTCCCAAACTAAAAAAATCAAAAAAGTTAAAAAATCAACTAAAAAAGTCATTATCAAACAACTCCTAAATAACAGGAAAGCAATAAATCAGAATATAAAGTTATATGTTTCCCTTCATTATACATATGTGTACATTCATCAACAAATCATTGGATATTGGATTTAACGAAATAGTTGATATATCCATATCCATATATATATATATATATATACCTTTCCAAGCTCGTTTTGGATCAACACGAAGGGCGTTAAGCACAGTGCACAAACTTGCCGGACCACAGAAGTTCAAATCCCTTTGCATTCCATAGTTTGCGAGTAGCTTTAGTGACCCCTCAGCTGTTCCTTCTGCCATGGCTTCACTCAACATAGCCTGAAAAATTTCATACCAATATCATGAAATTGAAACAGCTAATTTCATTGTTCAAAAAAAAAGAAAAAAAGAAAAGCCCACTCCTCCTTCTTTAGTCTCAAATGAAATAGCAGGAGGATTCAATGGCTTCGTGTATGTCGTTGTCCGTGTTGAGAAACCACGAAGCTTGATTCCCTTTCCCTATTGAAAACAAAAAACAGAGAAACATTAATCTCAAGCAAATAAAGGGTGATGTGATGGAAAATGGCAGCAGCCAATTAAAGTCTATAAAAGGTGTGGATCCAACGGTTCTAAGGCCCAAGCCTTAATTTGGCATATGCTAGATGATGTGGGGCCTACTTGGGAGATTAACTAGACTTGGGATTTATTTAAAAGTGTCTTTTGAGTTTCTCAAGTCAAATGTCTTTAAATTTCTAGTCAAGGTCTTTGGGTTGTTTAGTTGGTCAAAGAGTCTTTTAGTGTCTTTCACATGATTAATGCATTAAAGAGTCCTAGGGAGTCTAAGTTAGTCATGTCATTTAATTTGGAAAGTTTTAGAATCAAGATGAAGTGAGTATAAATTATATTGTAAGTCTTGTGGCAATTTATGAATGGAATGAATGAAAATTAAGCTTATGCTTCTATGATTGTGCTGATGCAATCTTTCTTTAGTGTGATGCTAAAGAGCCCATTGGTGTGATGCCTTGGGTTTTCTAGGTGTGATATCTAGATCTATCCTTCTTTAACCCTTCCTCTACTTCCTACAAATCACTGTTCACATCTACTGTTCATATCTGCTGTTCATATCTGCTGTTCACAGCCCCAAAAACAGCCCTGTTATTTGTGTTTTTGCTCATACTCAGGCCTATTTCGAATCTGTCCTGCATCAACTTGGTATCAGAGCAAGAGTAGCATCATGTCTACACGATCCGGAAAGCCATTTAGGGGAAGATTAACTGATTACCAGCGTGACGAGATTCTGCTAAAGCTTGTGGAGCAGATCGATAATTTTAGTCTGCGCATCAATACTTTGGAAGGCCAAACAACTCAACCTAACGATGATGAACAAGACGAAAACTCTGGGAATAACAATACTAATGAAAATGGCGAAAATCAAGGCGAGCGCATGTAGATCCGCTACGAAGGCAGCAATTAAGGGCTGGCCAAAATCAGGGAAGGCAACAAAATTCCATGTCTGATTGGGCCCATGATTTATTACAAAGGAACCAATATGAGACCTATGATTCAGCCGGAGATATCACTAAGAAGATTAAAATGGAGGTTCCAGATTTTGAAGGTAAGGTCAATCCTACTTTGTTTCATGATTGGCTTGCTTCTATTGAAGAGTACTTTGACTGGTACGATATGGCTGACGATCGGCGAGTGAGATTTGCTAAAATGAAGCTTATTGGATTAGCAAAAATCTGGTGGATGGGTGTGGAAGGTGATATTCGAAGGTTGGGGCAGCCACCAATTGGTACTTGGCAGGAGATGAAAGCCAAGTTGAAGGAGAAATACATGCCATCAAATTACCATGAGAAGTTGTGTGAACAATTGATTGAATTAAAGCAAAACCGCATGACAGTGGCTGAATATATGCAGAAATTTGATGAGCTAAAGATGAGGAGTCAAATTACGGAAGATTCAAGTCAAGCTCTTGCTCGGTTTAAGGCTGGTTTGAGGCCCGACATAAGAAGGGAGTTGCTTCGCCGACCCTTGTACAGTCTCGAACATGCCTTCCAAGTTGCTTTGGATATGGAGGAGTATTTGAACTACCCAATTTCTAAAAAGTTTGTGTCTCAAGTTGGGGAAACCATAACTAAGGGGTACAATGATGCAAATCGTTTCCGGTCCAATGTTTCAAAGCAAACTTCTGTCAATACGGCTGACCCAAAAGGGAAGAATTATGCAGCTAACAAAGGAAACAGGAAGGAAACCAAGTGCTTTAAGTGTGGTGAATCTGGTCACATGGCATTTCAATGTCCAAAGAGGAGTTTACACATGGCAGTGGAGCAAGAAGCTGAATTCGATCAACAAAACAATGATGATAATGATGATTCCTTTGATGTTGGGGTACTAAATACAGATGACTTAGAAGATGAAGAGGTGGACAATTCTCTGATTTCTGTTGTCAGGCGTATCCTTGCAGCGCCAAAAACTGAAAAGGAAGACTGGAGGCGTACTTCTATTTTTCAAATGCTGGTTCGCTGCGGAAACCAAGCTAGGAAGCTTATCATCGATGGTGGTAGTTCCATGAATGTTGTATCTGCAACCACGGTGGAGCGTCTTAAGCTTCCTGTTCAACCACATCCTCATCCATATAAGGTAGCTTGGATCGATAACACGTCCATTCCGGTAACTCAGCGCTGCCTAGTCTCTTTTTCGTATGGTTTTTATAATGATTCTATCTGGTGTGATGTAATTCCCATGAATGTCACACATATCCTTCTTGGAAGACCATGGCTTTATGATAGAGATGTGCAGCATTCTGGAAAAGAGAACACATATGCTTTCTCATTCAAGAACAAGGAGATTGTTTTGAAGCCAATGACTACAGCTGAAATGGGAAAATTCAAGGAAAAGAAGCCAAGGGATGTCACTGAAAATAAGCCAAAATCTCTCCATATTCTCACCAAGAAGTGTTTTCAAGCTGAGTATGGAACTGGGAGTTATATATGCCATGGTGGTGAAAGAAGTGTCAGATTTAGCTGCTGAATCTGTCTCTGAATTGCTGACAGAAGTAGCCAAGTTGCTGTCCCATTTTTCTGATGTTGCCCCCAAAAAACTCCCAGATGAATTACCTCCCATGCGCAATGTCCAGCACGCAATAGATCTCATTCCTGGATCACAATTGCCTAATCTTCCAGCCTATCGCATGAATCCACGGGAGCACGCAGAGCTTAAAAGGCAGGTAGATGAGCTACTATCTAAGGGGTTCATTCGTGAAAGTTTAAGTCCCTGTGCTGTTCCAGCTTTGCTTACACCCAAGAAGGATGGTAGTTGGCGCATGTGCATAGATAGTCGTGCTATAAACAAGATTACAATCAAATATCGATTCCCTATCCCGAGGCTTGATGATATGTTGGACATGTTGGCTGGGTCTTGTCTATTCTCAAAGATTGATCTGAAAAGTGGCTACCATCAGTTACGTATAAGGCCAGGAGATGAATGGAAGACAGCTTTCAAGACCAAGGATGGCCTCTACGAGTGGCTAGTCATGCCATTTGGTCTAACAAATGCCCCAAGTACATTCATGCGCTTTATGACACAGGTATTACAGCCTTTCATTGGTCACTTCCTGGTTGTTTATTTTGACGATATTCTAATCTATAGCAAGACCAAGGAGGAACATATCTTTCATCTTCAACAAGTTTTGAGGGTCCTCCGCCAAGAGAAGCTCTACATTAACGTAAAGAAGTGTTCTTTCATGAGTCCAATGGTTGTATTTTTGGGTTTCATTGTGTCGTCTAAAGGAGTGGAAGCCGATCCAAGTAAAGTGAAAGCTATCCTAGAGTGGCCAATTCCAACCTCCTTGCATGAAGTTCGCAGCTTTCATGGGCTGGCAACTTTTTATCGTCAGTTTATCAAAAATTTCAGCACGGTAATGGCACCTATCACTAACTGTATGAAACTGGGAAAAAAATTCAAATATTCTTAGTTTCACACTTCTATGATATAACAATCGCGTAAATTTGAGTATTTTGTTGATTTGTAGGGATGAGCTAACCTGCCATGAATCGTAGGCTGCGTTTACTAGAAAAAGTGGTGTTTGAATTTGCTGAGCCATGTTTTGGGGGAAAAAACACTGCAACATTGTTGAGATGTATTGGTACAATTGACAAGAAAATAGGGAATAAGGAACAAAACGATTCAGATACCAAACAACTCTTACCAAACCAGGTCTCATTTTTGAAGTGCACGATATGGGTAAATTTTTCGCTGATCCCTGAGTAGCCAAGTCAAATAAAAGTTAGTATCTGAGCTCACATCAGCAAAATGAAAACCACAAAAATTGTAATGGAAACATCATGTGAGATTCTTCATAACCTCTCACTGTCTTGACGTGAAGAACTAGAGTTTCTTCCATTCTAATCGAATATTTCCAAGAGATATTTTCTGTAGCTCAGGTTTGTTTCTAACTCTAAACTTCATTTACATTAGGGCTTTTGATTTGAAAACCCTAACCCTTATTGAATATCTGATATGGATGTTAAACCACCAGCTGAACCGCCTGAGATGATAACCTGTTCGAACAGAGTTTTAGGAGTAATTAAGAACAATGATAATTATGATGAAGAGGGAGAAAGAGAGTATGCAACATAGATATGAACCACACGTACATTTGCAGCATTCTTCATTCCTTTTGCTAATAGATCCTCAATAACAGCGGCAAAAATCCTTGCACCTCTGAAGTGAAGATTAGTAGCCTGATGAAAGTAAAAATGCAATCATAAATCCAACAAAATGCAAATTTACAAGCGATGTAGGTACTAATCTCCTAATTTTGTTGTAATTGCTACTATTATAACTCACGGGATTGACTGCTTCGACATCGCCTGTAAATGATGACCCATCGCAGTACATAACCTTGATCCTATTCCAATTATAGAAGTCTGGGTATTGAAATAGAGTTAATTTTCTTAATTAGGAAAGAAGCTCGAAAACCTGTGAAAGTTCAAAGGGAAAGAAATGAAATCCAGATCAATTGGGCATACCTGGATTAAACTTTTGCAGGTTGCTCAGAAGCCTAGAGAAAGCAAGCTGATTTGCCATTTGCTTAGATGAACCTAGACGAGTGTTCTTACGGGCAAGGCAAGTTGCAACATTGTTACACCATCCTCCTCCCTGAAAATACACAGTAGATAATGTTCTTTTTTTTTTTTTTCCGAGTAGGATGTTCTCTATAAAATCCATTAGAGATCTTGCAATGAAACTCTCAAAGCAATCAGTAAAACCAAAAGACTAATACATCAAATGGGTTTTATAGAAAAGCGTCAAATGCCTAACTTACTCACTCACAATGAACTGCCAAGGATAGTTATCTTAGCAATCAGGTGGGGTGGGGGCAGGGAGCGAGAGCATATAGAAGTTTCTAAGATTATGAGCATGTATATATTTTATATATTAAATATCCTCAAAAATTACTTTCTTCTGTTCAATTGTAATATGTGTTTAAATATGAATTATTATTGAAGTTTGATGTCAACAAATTGTTTTCATGAAGTATAAATAATATAATATAAACACAAAGTATTAGAATAAGTTTGAGTTATTTTTCTTTTGTTTATTTAACATTTGTATGTTTCACAGCTTGTATCTCTGTTGAGAGAGATTTTCTTCTTGATGGGAGTTAGTTTCTTACTTGGGAGGACAAAATTATGTTTCTAAGTTAGAAACGTCACTCAAGTAAGAGTTTCCTACTACAAAACATCAAAGCACTCAATTACATCATTGCAATTATCCAATTAGCATTTCAAAAAAATCAAAATCAGTTCTCAATTCAATATCCAATAAAACTGCAGAAAATTGGGTATCTTATATGATTTCACAATTCTTATTTTTCTTTTCAATCATCTTCTTAACAACAAACAAATCATTTTTGTATTGTAAAACAAAATGGTAAATGAAGGACCAACCTCAAAATGAACCAACCAATTGTTAATTCCTGCTCCAAACCCCTTATCAAGATGGTAAGCCGGGGGAGACCCATCCAAACAAACTGCACAATATCAGAATCCCAAACACATTATAGTCAAGATTGTAAAAAAAAATTTAAATTGGCTTATTATGAAGAAGATTTTAACCTGCTCCTTTTGCAACAGAATTCTGAACATAAGCTATGCCAACATAAAAGCCTTCTGTTTTGAGCAATATCAGTACACAAACTAGCATTTGCAACCATTGTCCTAATCTCCCATTGGCCATGATGCACCTCTGTTAAACATACCACCATACCATTGAAATTCTAAGAATTATATGTAAATAACAGAGAAACCCAAAAATAATAATAATAATAATTAATTAAATTACAAGGAATATATTGGGAAATTTGAAACCAAATAACCAATATATGCAAATAGATATCTTAGGAGTATTTTATGAAGAAACCATTTATTTTTCATTTAAGAGAGTGAACTGAGATTATATCAAATGAATTCAGATAGGATTCAAGTCCTGATATGGGATACTTGAAAACGGGAAGAGATAGAGAAAATATATTGTTTTATTGATAGAGAATAAAACCCAGATGAGTATTTTTAAATAAGCATTAATGTTACAATCTCTAAGTTCGCTGACTCTATTGTTACAACTACACTCATTCCTATAGCTATGATTGTGGTCTTTTCGTCATCAAATATATGCAAGGGAAACCTTTGCCTTCGGGTGTAATCAAGGTACTTACATTTATACCCAACTGTCCACTTATCAGTATCTTATGTTTTATGAAGACTAATTTTATAATGTGTGACGTTTTTACGTACTCACTACTTTTGGCATGTAGTTTGACTATTTGCATAGGGCTCGCTTGTTACTTGATCTTATGATATACAAGCATAATTCAGCTCCTATTGTTGGTGATATCGCGCAATATAAAGCTGGTAATGCTCTATTCTTTTTTATTTTTCATAAGTTCGTACAATCAATGACGTTATCGCATTTCTTAAACTCGTGAACTTTGAGTTTATAACTCAACCTTTGTTATAAAATTATATTCTCAAGTGTTCTATCTTTGTGCAGAACTCAGAGCTAGGGGTGAATTGAAACAGAAGTAGAGGCCATACGACTTTTGTGATCTTGAAAGAAGGAAAGATAGTGGATAAGGTTGTGGGAGCGAACAAAGACGAGTTGCTACCATTGAAATAGGAGCTCAATCGAATGGAATAGATTCCTTTTTTCATCCTTTCATCTCCCATCACCCTCTCTATGAATAGCACGTTAACTTTACTGAATAGCATATATATTGGCTAACATGGGCTGGAAATTAGATTTTGTTAGTGAGACCTATCATGGTATGTTTGTTTTGAAATTCTTAAACTAGCATGAGTTTTGCAGATCTTATTGATGTTTGGAATGGATGGAGGCATTATCAATACATCATTACCAACTTCATACTGACTTTGTTGGTCATTTTATTAAGATAGTGCCAACCACTATTTATAGGATAAAAGAGTTGTGCTTGTATTAACCATTTTCTTCATTAACACATGTTTATTGCTTTACAGGTTAGTGGAATCCCAACGTTTGGTATTCCTATTCAAGATGGTGGCATTGGTTTTGACTATCGCCTGCATATGGCCATAGCAGATAAATGGTTGATTTTGACCATAAAATCAATCGGATAGATTTTGACCATAAAATCAATTGGATATATTTTGACCATAAATTTATAATTTTATTTTAATTTGATCCAATTAATTATAATTTCTACTTTGCGCTCGGCTTGAATATAATTGTGCAAATCCTTGTGAATAAAGCCCACATTCGCGAAAGACCCAGATTGTTGCACCAACAAATCCATTATCTGGCTTGTCTTGACACCAACATCGTGCAAAGTCTTTACTTGAGCTTTGTCGGGGATCTTTACAAACCTATGCGACCGAAGAAATGGCACACATGGTGATGTTGCCAATGGATGGTTATGTTCCATGTTAAAAGTGAGTGACAATGTATTTGCCTACATCCAGATTGTACCTTATGCGGAAATGAGCATCACAACCAACTCTAGTCAATGCCCTGGCAGCTCTTTTTCGATCAATACGGGCCAAGTGTTGCTTTGCTCTTTGGCCTTGCCTTGAGCATACCCATTTTCTACTAAGAACCTTTGTTGCCTGCATTGTTCGCGTGTCTTTCCTAATGCTAAATCCCACAACTTTAGCATATTGATTATAGAAATCATTGGCATCCTCTTCTGAATTGAATTGCATTTCAAGAACATCATTCTTGGTTAAACTTTGAATAGGGTCATTTGCATGCGAACCTAATTCTTCTTTATTCCCACAAACTTCGTCATCATCAAGCTTACGCTCAAATTTGGTACATTCAAAAAGATCCATGATAACTACATCAAAAACAATACGAAAAGAATAACATTATCTTATAAAATGAATGAAAATTCCTAAAATCACATAAAAGAATTTTGTAAAAGAGCAAATAACAGACAAAAACAATAATAGAAAATTGTACATAGATTTAATGACATAGTTATTGAAAACATTCAATAACTTGCCATTAATGACATAGTTATTGAAAATCAAAATAAATAGAGAATGATTCTGTAATCAACAATCAAAATATTGGTTGATCAATAGAAATACAATAAAATAGAAACAAAGAAAAGGAAAAAGCAAATAAATAAAAATATATGGAAACTTATTAAGGCAATTCATTTGGGTTCTTTGGTATTTTTCTTAATTGACTTGGGTTATTTTTAGGTATTTGGATTGCTCTAAAACACACCCGCAAGTATAACTTTATACACTGTCCAACTTATAGCAAATAATTAATCAAACTTATAACTTTATAGCAAAGAATTAAAAAAACAAATAAAAATAAAATGAATTTTATTTCGACTATATATAATGTTAGTAATTAGAATTCACAGAATTTTTTTGACTTATCCTCCTTGTACAAGTTAAGATCTATTCTTCAATATCACGGAACGTCTTTTTTTCTTAAGACTTCAATAAAAGATTATTTTGGAAAACAAGGAATAATTCATTATGAATTAAGACCTAAGAAACTTCGGAATTCTGGATTAAATCAATGGAAAAACTGGTTAAAAGGTCATTATCAATACCATTTATCTCAGATTAGATGGTCTAGATTAATAGCAGCAAAATGAAAAAATAGAATCAATCAATGTCGTACAATTCAAAATCAATATTTAAACAAAGAGAATTCATATGAAAAAGACCTATTAATTCATTACAAAAAATAAAACGACTACGAAGTATATTCATTACCAAATCAAAATGAGAATTTTCAAAAATACTATAGATATAATCTTTCATCTTATAGATCTATTAATTATGGAAATAAGAGGGACCCATATATTTATGGATCACCATTCCAAGTAAAAAAGAATCGAGAGAGTTCTTATAATTACAACACACATAAACATAGGGGCAAATTTTTTGATATACTAGGGGATATCCCAATCAAAAATTATTTAGGAAAAAGTGATATTATGTATATGGAAAAAAATCCGGATCGAAAATATTTTGATTGGAAAATTCTCCATTTTTGTCTTAAAAAGAAAATCGATATTGAGGCCTGGATCAAGATCGATACCAACAAGAATAAAAATACTAAAACCGGGACTAATAATTATCAAATAATTGATAAAATAAAATTTATCTATATGTTCAAATGTTATTTATCTGTACACATGTCACGTACTTTTCTAATTACTTGTCCAAATATCACCAAATTATACACATGTCACCTATTTGTCCCACCTTACCGCTACCAACCATTGCTGCTAGCTACCGCCATCCGCCAGCCATTGGCAACTTTTTCAACAACTTTAGGAGTGATAAACGAACCAAACAACTTGAGCTCGACTTATGTTCAGCTCATTAAAAACTCGTTCGAGCTCAGTTCGTTAAGTAAATAAGCCAAACTTGAATAGTCAATTGCTTGTTCGGCTCTGTTTGATGAATCTAAAACTACCAAACCACTTCAAATCGGCTTGAGAAAAACTCATTTGATATCGACTCAAAAATTTAACGAACCAAAGTTGAAAAAATTTTAAATTCGCTAAAGTTATCAAAGCAAGTTATAACAATCAACTATTCAGCTCGTTTATTATCCCTAAAGAGGGTTTAAATAGGACTACAACTATTTGTCTTCTCATTTTACATCCCCTCCATACCTTTATTCTCTCTACTACTTACAACACAATTTTGGAAGCAATTATTATATATGTAGAATCACTTGAAAATAAAATAAAATAAACACTCTAGAGGATTCATGCTTCATCTGTGATGGGTGGCTGTAGGCAAAAATCTCAGTATAGAATTTTCAAATGTCTATCAAAATTAATGAATTTACTAGAACCAGACTCTCTTGTGATGTATTTACCCTAGAGTTCTTTCTTTTCAAATATGTACATTTCTCTACTCCCTCAAAATTATGTTTATTTTTGTCGTGGGTGGGAAGCAAAAGTATCAATTCAGAATTTCCAGACATTTACATGCCATTCAACAAATTTGAGTTCAACCAAAAATGAATTCAATCTTTCTCTTGTGACATCATCTCCCTCTAAAAAAAAGACAGTACACCCGCAAGTATCCTACTATCAATTAAAATAAACAAAAAAAAAATAAAAGCACACCTGCCAGTGCCCTGCTATCAATTAAAATAAACAAATAAATAAAAAAGACAGCACAAATAAATAAAATAGCACACCCGCCAGTGCCCTGCTATCAATTAAAATAAACAAATAAATAAAAAAAGACAGCACAAATAAATAACGTAACACACCCGCCAGTGCCCTACTATCAATTAAAATAAACAAATAAATAAAAAAAGACAGCACAAATAAATAAAATAACACACCCGCCAGTGCCCTGCTATCAATTAAAATAAACAAATAAATAAAAATAGACATCACAAATAAATAAAATAGCACACCCGCCAATGCCCTGCTATTAATTAAAAGCAAATAAATTAAAAAACACACCTGCTAATGCAACCGCTAGAGACGAAGGGATGGAGGAGGTATAGCTTTACTTCAACGTTAAGATGGAGAAATTGAGGACCTATAACAAACAAAAATAGAACATTGAAATAGAGTTAGTAAAGAAGACAATACGTAAGGAAATTAATGATTGTGTGGAGAAAAGAAAGAATCTATGTACGAAAAATATTATTTTGCACATCTTTTGACATTAACAAACTGCATAAACAATAACAAAGATGAAAGTCTACTACCTTTATTCAAAGTCTCAATAACCATTACATAAATAAACACTTAAACAAATGTACCACAACCAACCCTTTGACCACTTCAACAAAAAATTAAATAAAAATAGGGCAAATTACATATACACCCCTTCAGGTTTGGTTAAATTACAGATACCCCCCTGAGGTTTCGGAAATTACATCCCGCCCCCTGAGGTTTGTATTTTCATAACAATTTACCCCCTGAGGTTTATATCCTTTCCCTTTCCCTTTCCATTTCCAAATCCCTAGCTAAATCCATGATCCAAACATAACATTAAGGAAATATGATGGTTTCAACGTTATAAAAAGCAAAGCACATTCACATAATTTTCTTCTTCTTTCGTGCTAGCTTATTATTTTCCAAAAAAATTCAAAATATAATAAAAATGTGGGAGTGGATTTTCCAAATGATTTGAGCCAACATCAATCCATATGTTATAGTTACATGAAGTTATATATCATAAAGTGAGTAATTATAAATAACAACTATGGCTTTGGTTATAATTCTTGCTTAACATAAATTATTTATACGTAGAAAAGTTCCTAGAATTTGAATGTTTGGTATAGATTTAACTTGATGTGATGTCGGACCACACCCTATATCAATGAAGATCATTGATGATGCTAATAATGACAGCTATTAGGACATATTGGTAGTTTACCCTTTTATTTGTTGTTGGATTCAATGTGATGATAATGAAAGCATTTTATTTTATTTTACTTAAATTACTTCATTTTTGACACATGGTGGCATAGGCAACATCAGAGCTAATTCGAAGTTCTGCTAAGCCAATTCTTGAACAATATAGATCAGTTATCTTATCATCTTTCAAGCTTTAAAAGTTGACTCTTGGTACTATGACTGCACAATTCACAAGTTTGTTTGATTTCTGTTTGATCTTTGATGAGGAAGTCGAGAAAAAAGAAAAAAAAGAAAAAAACAGACCAACCAACAACCAGACACAACACCCAGAGCAGGAATACTTATGCAGAGCAGGCATCTAATATTACTGAGACAACAAAAAGTGCTATGGAAGCATGGCCTTGACATAACACTGACAGTGGCATCTGATAAACCAAAAAATATCCTTAAAAAGAACATTGGCACAACAGAAATTGGGCTTCAAAGAATTCCATGCATGTTTTCTTGGGAAAACTGATGAACATTCCAACTTATAACCAAACTACAAGAGCACTGCAATGGCATCTAAATAACAGCCCCCAAATAACAGATCAAACAAAGAACAGCCACCCACAAATCAAACAGAGAACAGCACAGATAGATAGGGAAACCAAAATAAGCAGAAGTTGGATTAGCAGAACCAGACAAGGCCAACAGTTGAGGCCACACCAAAACTGAGGCAAACAAAACACCTCAAATAGCAACGACACCAGAATGGCAATTCAAAAGAGCAGAGCCTACTTGAAATCAGAAACCAGAACAGTTCACCATACAGTAAACCAGTACAACAAGGAGACTGGCAGTTCACCATACAGGAAAAGTATCACACTTGATGTTAAAACTAGAGTCGGCATTGGATTACCTATACAGGTGATCTTCAACTTATTTCTCATATCAATAAAATTTTTTCCTAGTAGCAAAACTATTACAAAACTACTCTCAAATTTATTTTATTTTCACTTTTTATTTATTTATTTATATTATTTATTTATTTTTTGTGTGTATAGTACTTCTAATACTTATTTTATAGATAATCAATGTGTTCTCTTTCACTCTCTTTGAAGAATAATAGGTGACTAAAAAATTGGATAACATGATATAAAGTAAAGAATGTTCGGTTATTGGAATTTTACCATAAGATGCCACTTTAATATTTTTTCGTATATATTTTCATCTAGGTCAAAATATTGGATTCACGGGAGTTTTCAGATTAATTTTCAAACCACTAGTTGACGAGTTTCCATATTTTGGGGCTGTTTGTTATTCTTTGATGGAAAAGGTGGGTACTTTGTATCTTTGTCCCTCTTTGAACTTATTAGTCTAGTTTCCAACATTTTGGAAGTCATCTTCATGATAAATCACGCAAATTTGTGCAAATATTCATATATCTATCATGTCATCATAAAAGGAATTATATAAAATTTTGAAAAATTACTATGCACTTGATTTTTGATACTACAATTCCTCCTATGATTCTGCCACAAAAAAACATGGACTTTACACTCAAAGTTGTAGGTGGGGAATTATCAGCAATTCTCGAAATTTCTGATGCTATTGAGGTTTCAGAAATTTTATATTTTTATTTATTTATTATTTGTTTCACACTAAAATTGGAGTTAAACAAGCAAGTAAACTTGTGTACAACACTATTGCATATGACATATAAAGAATAAAAACAAAATGTACAAGTCAATAAAAACAATGTAGATTTGATATTGAAATGAAATTTGTGTAGGACCTACTAAAAAAGCATAAAGTGGTTGGCCATTAGCTCAAAGAATGGTTTGAGTTTATATATAATACAATACTAAAAATTATATATATATTTTACGAATGTATGTTGGTTGTACCCGTATCCTAATTTTTAGGTCTTCTCTATTTTTCATTTCTTAGTTTAGAAGAAAATCTATTTCACTAACACAAACAATTCATGAAGAAAAAATTGTTAAAAGAATGACAAAACTTCACAAGTGAAATCCATTTGCAAAAGCATGAGCTCTGAAATACAAAACCAACCTAGGCAGAGAAAATCAAATAAAAACAAAACAAAACAACAGAACCCAGAATTGCACCCTTAAGACAAAACTGACCTGAGACTCTTACGGTAGATACCCAGATACAGATGTTCCACATAATCCAGTAATCCTATTTGCACTTCTCAACACTCAGAGCCATGAAAATTAAAAAACTGAAATGAAAAAAGAAAAAAAAATGCAAATTCCAACTATATAACTGGTAGATAATAAGGAATAGAAGCCAATGATGATTACAGAATCAACCCACACACCAACACACAGATAACACATTAAACCCCATCACAAATCAACAATTAAGTAAATTGGAGTGCCTATCAGACCAATTCAACTTGCATGTTCAATAATCTGAAAAAATGCATGGGTTGTAAGATCAACTTTGCATAAAAAATGCTCTGGTTGGAGCAGAAAAGAGATATGAAAACTAGACTAGGACTTTTGTATAGATGCTGACAATCAATGTCCCCAAATGGTGGATGTAAGCCACCAAGTACCCCAACTTCTCTGATTTTCTGGCTTTGATTTCATTTCCCAAACCAAGTTGGTGATAAATTCTGAAATTTGAAGAATTAGAAGGAAAAGAAAACTAAATCAAAATGTTATTTTTAAATGGTGAGTTTCACCTTTTTTGTGTCACATCCTAAAAGGATGCTTGTGATTGGAACATTGCATTGAAGAGAAAATTAAGGAGAAAACCAAAAAGAATGAGATTGCTAAAGGTAATACATCAACCAAAAAAAAAAAAGAAGGAAAAAAACAGAAAAGAAAAGAGAAAAAAGAGTCCAGTCATATATTGAGATATGACAATGATCTCAAAACCATTTTCCAAGACCTCCTAAGAAGCTTCATGGTGCTACACCAAAATGGCCAACCACCCATATTGATTGTTAGCATTGATATCGTAACATAGTCGAAAATGCATACTTTCCAAAGACCGGTGGAAGAGAGTTAGGGAGTGAGTTATATAGGTCCCAAAGACCGGGCCCAACATGTTTTCCCAATTCTAGATGTGCACAATCATTCAACATACCCTATACCAATCAACCTAACATGGCATTATATTTTGTACTTCAGCAAACAAAATTGTAACTTCCAAATAGGTTTACCTCGTAATTTTCCAATGCAAACCGACTATCAGGTGGGATGGTTCCAGAGTAATATTTTCCAGTCAAAACTCCTGATGCAAGTGGACTCCAAGTGGTAAGACCTAGACCATAGTTAGTGTACAGAGGGAGGTACTCAGATTCAACCTGCAGTATGGCAAAAATATGTCAGAATTATAGCCAAGTAATATGTATAAACAACCAAATCAAAATCCTCAAATTTAGAGGCAAAATATGCAGCTGTAACTGCAAAAAGGGAACATTATAGTGAGTCAAAAGCACCAATGACCAGAAGGACTACATCATGCAATAACAGAGGAACAAATGAAAAAATGAGAAGCAGAAACAAATGTCCCTATTCAAGCTATAGAAACTCAGAAAACTTATGGTCAATAACTTGTAAAGGGACATGTGACAAAGAATTATCAATGCATCTTCATGAACTTACAATATCCAATTGTTTGTCTGTGAGCTTGTGAACTATAAAACCTTAATGGGTTTACACAGTAACATTAAAATATCCATTCGTTTCTCAATACATCCAAACCACTTTAATTTTGTTTCTCATAGGAAAATCAAGCCACCACGAGTAATTGTTAGACAAATAAACAGATTTCAATAAGCAAATAAAAAATTAGTCTCATATCAGTTACATGGTTACAAAATTCAATTACCCACACATCAGATTTCACACAAGCCAAATTTCAAGTGTATATATATATATATGGAATCAACACAACTAACAAACATAAAAAACCTAAACCTATTCAAATCATATTTTCCTAATTTTATAAACCAACCCAGTGAGTTCACAAAGGTGAAATGGGCAGTTCCGAAGAAGGGGATTTCGGTCTAGGGTTTCATAGAATGGAGATGGAGAAAGGGAGAGAAAGAAGTAGCAGAGCGAGAAAGAGAGACATACATTGAGGCATGTAGCTTGCTAAAACGAGGAGGAAAAGAAGAGGGCAGAATAAACTCACTCTTCGGTGTTTGGCGAGAAGGAGCGCTGGCGAGATCCTATAGAGATCTTTGTCAACAGCTTTGGGAGCTTTTCTCCGTGGTAGAGGATGCGGCGGCGAAAAAGGTCTCGGCCGTGGCAATGGCAGAGAGAGAGAGAGAGAGTGAGAGTAGCTTTTGAAGACGTTTGGGATGAAGAAAGGGTCGGAGGGATTTGTCAAGAGAGGAGGGAATTTTGATTTTCACAAAATTTGGAAATTTGGATGTTTGTTTCAAATTTTTGGGCGAAATTATTTGGGAGAAATTATGTTATAATCATAATAAAAAAAATTAAAATAATTAGAGTCTTATAATAAAATAAATTATTAATTTATAATTTTATCAATTTATACTTAAATTTTTTTATTTATTTTTAATATAAATTCTCATATATTTTTATTAAGTAAAATTAATAAAAAAAATATTTTACTCATCAATTACAAAATGTATAATCACACCATAAATTGGCGTAAACATAATAGACAAAATTTTAGAAACTATAAGGCAGTGTTTGGTAATATTTACGTTTTTTGTTTATACTTACAAAAATTTTATAAATTGATTTTTGTTTATTTTTAGAAAAACATAAATTACAAACGCGTTTGGTTTGAACAAATGTTTACAAAATTTTAAAAATATAAACTAAAAAATATGTTTGTTTAGGCCTAAAATATTTATATTTATATTTATTATTTATGACAATGGGATCACACACATTATCATTGAAAAAAAAATTAATCAAAAAATTAATTGAAAAAAAAAATTAATTGGAAGAATATTAATTGAAAAAAAAATTGGGAAAAAAAATTAATTGAAAAAAAAAAGATTAACTGGAAAAAAATTATTTGAAAAAAATAATTAATTGAAAAAAAAACTGAAAAAAAATTTATTTGAAAAAAAAAGTTAATTGAAAAATAATAATTTTAAAAATATTTATTTGAAAAAAAAATTTTATTTCAAAAAAAATCATTTGAAAAAAATTTAATTGAAAAAAAAAATTGAAAACTGAAAACGTAAACTCATTTTTTGAGTTTACGTTTTTTCCTCAAATTTATAAACTGAGACAATCATTTATAAACCAAAAAAAATTATCAAACAAGTTTTTACGACAGTTTTTAAAATTTTTATAAATATAAACTGAAAACTAAAAACGGAATAATTACCAAACAGACCATAATATTGTAATCAAATCACAGAGTTTTGTGATATAAAATAGAAAATACATAACTGCATCACTAATTGGCGTAACGAAATTGTTTAAAATTATAGAAAATCACAAATGTCGTAACTAATTTCCAAAATTTCATAACATTAACCAAAAATTATGTAACTATCCACTAATTGGTGTAACAAAGACATCTAAAATTTTTAAATAATTTAATCACCAATCGGGATCTCTAATGATACAGATAAACACAGAATGTAATGACAATAATTAAATAATTTAATCCATGACTTATAGCCACGGAACAGGAAATGAGAGTTAGAGAAAATTAACCAATAAAGCGAAAGGAAAGGGAATATGAGTAAGAGAGACTGAACGGACTTGTCGTCTGTGAAAATAATGTCAAAGATGGTGTTGTTTCCGATAAGGAACATCGGAGATATCTACAGTGACAGTAAGGAATGAGCGAGATGTTTGATAGATGAAGAGAGCTGAGATAGCAAAACAGTACAACAAAATCGTAATATTCATTTTCAACAGTTCTATAACATATGTACAAATTGATAAAATCATAACTACGGCCAAAGATTTGTATATGTATGAGAGTTTAGAGAGAATGAGAGTTTGAGAGACAAATTTGTTGTGAGAAATAAAATGTGAGAGGGGTGGTATTTATAGGACTTGGGAGGGAGGAGTTAATTTATATATATATAAATAAATAAAAAAATTTGATTATTGGTGGAATTAACGGTTATATGACTCTTTCAAATTGTTTTGATTTAAATTTTTGACCATTGTACTGACAATGGGGGCAGGGAGCCATTGGGGTCAGGTCAAGCCAGATGGGAAAGAAAATTTCGGGGCGATTTCACGGGATGGGTCACACTCCATAACACACCAGGGTCGGGTTGGGCTCTAGAACACATAGCTCAGGGTCTTAGGTTGGGTTTAGGCTCAAGCCTAGTTAGGCCTACCCAGGGCACGAGCGGACTTGGGGTGTGCTGCGAATATGGGCTAAATTTACACCACTATACGTGGGTAGTGGTTATGAGATATATGATTAGTAGTTATGATATATGTGATATTGATTATGAAACAAAGGGTGCTGGTTATGAGATGTGGTTATAATATATGTGGGTAAAGGTAATGAGATATATGATTAGTAATTATGAGATATGTGATTTTGGTTATGAGTAGGGTGGTATAGTTATAAGTCAAAAGGTGTTTGGTTATGAGATATGTGATTAGTAGTTATGATATATGTGATGTTGGTTATGAGATATGTGGGTAATGGTTATGAGTAAAGTGGTGTCAAAGGGTGTTTGGTTATGCTATATGTGTTAGTGGTTATGAGATATGTGGGTAATGGTTATAAGCAAAGTGGTGTTAAATGGTGTTTGGTTATGCTATATGTGTTAGTGGTTATGAGATATGTGGCTAATGGTTATGAGCAAAGTGCTGTCAAAGCGTATTTGGTTATGCTATATGTGTTAGTGGTTATGAGATATGTGGGTAATAGTTATGAGCAAAGTAGTGTCAAAGGGTGTTTGGTTATACTATATGTGTTAGTGGTTATGAGATATGTGGATAATGGTTATGAGTGGTTATGAGATATGTGGGTAATAGTTATGAGCAAAGTGGTGTCAAAGGGTGTTTGGTTATGCTATATGTGTTAGTGGTTATGAGATATGTGGGTAATGGTTATGAGTGGTTATGAGATATGTGGGTAATGGTTATGAGCAAAGTGGTGTCAAAGGGTATTTGGTTATGCTACATGTGTCAGTGGTTATGAGATTTGTGGGTAATGGTTATGAGTGGTTATGAGATATGCGAGTAATGGTTATGAGCAAAGTGGTGTCAAAGGGTATTTGGTTATGATATATGTGTTAGTGGTTTATGAGATATGTGGGTAATGGTTATGAGCAAAGTGGTGTCAAAGGGTGTGGTTATGCTATATGTATTAATGGTTATGAGTTATGAGATATTAGTTATGTGACTAGTGGTTGTGAGATATGTGATGTTGGTTATTAGATATGTGACTAGTAGTTATGAGATATGTGATGTTGGTTATGATCAAAGTGATGTGGTTATGAGCAAAAAGGTGTTAATTATAAGATATGTCCTTAGTGGTTATGAGATATGTGATATTAGTTATGACAAAAATGTGTTGGTTATGAGATATGTGACTAGTAGTTATGAGATATATGATGTTGGTCATGACTCAAAGGGATTGGTTATGAGATGTGGTTATGATGTATGTGGGTAGTAGTTATGAGATGTGTGATTAGTGGTTATGAGATATGTGATATTTGTTATGATCAAAGTGGTGTTGGTTATGAGATATGTGATTATGATTATGAAATATGTGATATTAGTTATGAACAAAATGGTGTTGGTTATGAGATGTAGTTATAGCTAAGTTATGATCAATTTGATTATAGTTATGAAGAAATATGATTTTAGCTCATAACTATAAAAAGTAACATGTTTAGCAGGTCACTTTTAATGATGTGGCTCAATCCTAACCATTGATTTTGTATGTACCGTACATTTTTGTACAAAATATACTATAGCCTTTCCCGCAAATAAATACCTAAACAAAAGTATTCAATGACAAAATCAATGTTCATTACCATAAACCTTTTCTGAACAACTGCCAACATTTTCGAATAGACACTGTTGAGGAACAAAGATTAGAGAACAAAAAAAAAGTGAAATGAAGAGTTTTATCAAAAATAGAGAGATAAAACTCACAATGAAGAGGACAGAGAGAATGAGAAGATGCTGGTTCCCCTGAAGCTTTTAGAATGAGTAATAGAGCACGTAATGGCACAGAACAACGGAGCTGCTCCCTGTTTTTTTTACTCTGCCAGTTTGGTTATGGGTAGAGTAAAAGGTCGTGACAGTGTGTACTGTCACTCCAAATTACCACCTTTTAGTTATATTTTGTTTTTTTAAATCTCTAGTAATTATTTCATAAAAATTACACGTAATGAAATTATAACATTATCTTAAATATTTTGTATTTAAATAAATATGAATATATATACTTATGTTAAATTACACAATTATTGTCCATTGTCTTCTGAATTATCTAATTATTCACATTTGCCCACAATGTTTAGACATAATAATTATATTGATGTTTTGACCAAACTCATATGAAATTTTTATTTAGGGATTGGCTTCTTTCCAATTTGTGATCAGGTTGGAAGGTGCTGTTGGATCCGTGGAGTCTACCACGGGTCCCATTTCAATAATCCAAACCGTTCAATATGTAAAACTCGTCGAGTACTATATGGTTATAAAACATTACGTTGAGTGGATATCGATAGCTATTTTATCGGATCAGATTTCTATCAACCGTTAATTCTTTTATCGTCCATTTTTTTATTAGACAAAACTAATTTGATCACGTAACTATCAATATCTGATCAATATGATTTTTTACAGGTATATAGCACTCAACGAGTTGTACACATTGTACGGTTTAGATTATCAAAGCGGGACTCGTGGTATTTCCCCACGGACCCAACAACACTCTGATCGGATTGGAGATAAACCAAACCCTTATTTTTATAAGAGTGAGAGATTGTTGTTGGGCTGTGGTAGACTAACGGTGAGATCTACCTCATTGATTTCAATAATTTATCTCTTCTCTAAGTAAATTATTTATGTAAGAATTTAAATGGGTTACTTACGAGTCTGTCCTATTAATTAGATTTATTTATTCTAAAATATTGATGAATGGATTTATTACTATAAATTTATTCATAAAAATAAGAGAGACTGATAAATTTATCACTGAATAAAAAATGAATAGGATTTAATGGTATTTAAGTCTTCTTAATGAGACTAGTTGGCAATTATCCTAATTTAAATTGGTTAAACAATTATAGTTACTTATCGGATTACATTTTGTTTTCAAAAAAATGTAACCACTTGAATGATTGTA